ACATCAGAGCTCTCTGTCCAGAAGAGTGCAGTGCTAGGAACAGCTAAGATACTGTGCAGAAACCTCAGACTCCCAGGCCTCTGTAGAGGACCCCAGATTGAGGAAGATACATACCACCCATAGGGGTGAGAGGGGAATTTTTTATATATATGAAGCAATCGATCAATCAATCAATTCAAGAAAGGGCCAGATCCGGCTGGGGGCTGTAGAGAATTTTTTTTTAAAGCAGGAAAAAAATCACCCAGTGCATCTCCATGGGAGAAGCAGTTGGACAGTGGCTTGGAATGTGGCTGACCCTTCCATTTTAAGTGACCCCTCTCTCTTCCTTCCCAGTCATGTGACCCAGAATGGAGCTATTCTGAAGCGGGTGGGAATAATCCCAAAAGCCCTGTTCTGCATGCTTTCCCTGTCTTGTTTTCTCTGCTTCCCTAGGGAGGCTTAGGAAAAAAGAGGGTGAGTTAACCCTTCGGCCAAACAGAATTGGCCATTCTCTTCCTGTTTACCCATCTTAGCCCATCTGATAGAAACACCTTCAGTATGTAAGACTGATATTTCAATGACTGGGAGTCAGAGAAACAGGGACCCACTAGTGTAAACCAATGCAGTTAAGAGCTTCCCTTTACCATCTGTGAAGAAGGAAGAAAACTGAAAGGCAGATTTTTGCATCGTTAGCATATAAGAGAAGTGTTCCTACCATTAGACAGAAGAAGCTGGCCATCATAGGCAACAAAGGCTAGAGAAAAGGGGCACAAGGGATGGTAAGGTGCAGAAGGACAGACCTGTGGGTCCCACGTATTTGTGTGAGAGAGATAATTTGCTCTAGAGAGTTTACACAGACACACAGAGAGACACAAAAGGGGGGCTAGTAGGGATGACAAGGAACACTGGAAGAGATTAGTAGCATTAAAGAGATTTAAGGTAGAATTATCCTGCAACTTCACAAACAGCAGGGTGGTCTTTTTAACGGCAGAGCAAAGAGTGCAGGAATTTGCTGGTCCAAGGTTCCTTTTCTAGAGTAATAAGTCTTTTTCTGATGTCTAATGAGACAATTTTGGTTTTAACTTTTGTCTTATATGTTCCAGCATGATGTCTGTGCCAACCACAGCTTATTCTTGAATCAGAGTAGTTTCCCCAACTTTCCTGAAAACAATGAGACTGTGACTGTGGATATTTTCCAAGGGGTGAGTATCCAGCAAAATGATGGCTATCAACCAAATTGCCCCTGATACAAAATAGGTGAACTTCATAGAATCTCCAGATGAATAGTCAATTGCTTCTGTTCTCCCAAGGAGGTGTACTGAGAAGCCAACTGGCAGCCAATGCAGCTCCAATAATAATGTTATTATATGGGCAAACCTAGGAATGCCCATAATTACTTGGTCACCCCCTGCTGAACCAGCTAAAGCTTCCAACTGGTGTGCAAGGGTTGCTTTGCATTGCATTAGTCCAGACATGAGTTGACAAGGGCATGAGTGATCATGAGCAAAGCTTCCGCTTCCAGAAATGGTTACAACTGGCACAAAAGATGTAACTGTACAAAGGCCCTTCTGGCCATGGGTTCAGAAGTGCCCTCAGATTGTAGCCAGCTGTCTCTGGGGAATACAGCCCCATCTTAAGTTACAGATGTTAAACTGTTTCCAGAATCAGTTGGCTTTCAAATCTGCAGTAATTCCATCTTGCTGGGATTGAATCTGAGTCTGTTTCTCCCCACCTTCCTATTCCATCTTCAAATTCCACCATGTTGCCTTTCTAAGCAAGCGTGCAGATGTGCAGTTAAGTAGTCTCTGCATTTTGATGATATACAGTATATCCCTGCCAGTAGATGACCCCTCCTAGCAGGTTCATGAAGATGTTACACAACAGGGAGATGAGGTCCAAGACCTATGGTTGTCACTTCTATTGCTTCTTAAGTTTCCTTTTCTTACCTTGAAGCCTTGGGATTGATTTAAGTTTCCCTCTCTCCCACTCCCTCGCTTTCATTTTAATTAGAGTTATTAACTAATTACTTTCTGTTTTAGTTCTTTAGGTTGTAGCTATTGTCACTATAATGTTAGGCTTTAAAAAAATGAGATGGTGAGTGGCTTTGTGGAACTTTGCTGGATGAAGTCAACATGATTTTGTGCATTTTTACACAGTACAACGAGCATATGCATTGTTGTATGCAAACCATAAATGTTTGCCTTTTTCTGTGCAGGGAATTATCCTGGGATGCTACTTTGGGCCCATTGCTCTCTACATTTGGGCTGTTGGAATCCTTGCAGCAGGTCAAAGTTCAACCATGACAGGAACTTATGCAGGACAGTTTGTTATGGAGGTGAGAAAATACCTGGGGAGGTATGTACAAAAGGGCAAGATTTGGACAAATGTCCCTCTCAGATTCATCCTGTTTCTTAGAAACCCTTCCACACAAGTCTAAAGGCATGACTACAGTGTGTTACTCAAAAAAGGGGGAAATCACTTATTTTCATCTGTGTTTAATTTTACTATCTTTATGCTAATTTTAAAAGAGCTTAAATTATTATTTTTAACAATTTTTAGGCTTTGTGAATCCTAAATATGGATAAAGCAAAACAGCTAGTCTTTAAGTCCATCAGGGCAGAAAATGGGAGTCAGACGCACTGGGCAAGCTATAGATTTCCTATAGAATTTGGATTCTGGACACTTCCATTTTAGATAGAAACAGTAAAATAGTAAGCTATAAACACTGACACAGATCAATGTAAAATTAATAAAACCATGTACTTGGAATCAGAAACGGAAAGAACACAATTTAGTTTTATCATCACAAGTACAACTTAGTAACATTTTTTTTCTCAAACATCTACCAACCACAACAACTCTTTAAATATGCCCTCAGCAAATGGGATGGCTTATCTCAGATCCAGGTAGAACAGATCCTTAAATCTGGGGGGACTGACATTCAGGATTGCTGATGATAGAGACAAAGGATGAGCAACCCACAGGACATGGATGATCCTTCCTTCCTCCCTTCCTTCCTTCCTTCCTCCCTCCCTCCCTCTAAAATAGGTGCAAAAGCCCTGTTAGGTGTAATGTACAATTTTCTTTGTTTTTAAGTTACAAAATGAAAAAAAAAAGAAAGAAAACTGAAACTTTTTTATCACTCCCCTCACTTTTATAGTCTCTCCTGTCTTTGAATAACTTTGCCTTTCTTCCTTTCCTTAGCCTCCCCCCCCCCCCAGTGGAATCATTAGTTGTATCTATGTCTTGATATGTCTTTGTCAAAGTATGTGTGAAACCAGAAGTATCCTGATTCATATGACCATTTCTGATCCCAATTATTTCATTTAATAGCTGCTGGAATCCCAAGATTCCCATTTCTCTCATCACCCCTCCTGACTTGTCGCACAGGTGAAATATTCCTGCTTCTTCTAATAATTTCTCCCATGATTTTTCAGCTCTGTGTGTCTAAGTTCAGACTCATTTTATCCTGTTGGCACTTGTTCAAGGGAACATCTCTTAGGGCCTTTTCCCATGGCACAGTTCATATGCTATCCTTGAGCTGGAGAAAACAATTTGTCTAACATTTGCTTTCCATACTGCCACTACTTCTTTTTCCGTGCCCCAATAATCTCTGCTGTGGCTTGCTACCTAAAGGTGGTGTCCTGGATTTGGGGCTTGCGTAGCATTTTAAACAAAGCAATTGATTAAGCCCCCCCACCCCAGCTTTCTTGCTCTTCCCCTTCCTGGACATCATCAGCCAGTGCGAAATCATCCACCATCAAGGCTAGCAGTTTTTAAGATGGCTAAACCAATGCTCCACAAGCCTGATCAAAGGGCTTTCACAGGTGAAGATGAAGCACGTTTTGACAGGTGGATGTGCAAAATTGCTGTTGTGTTCTTTGAATCTCTGTTAGGCTTTGTTCCAGGAGGAAGAGCCCCTCCTCCACCTTTGATCCCCAACGGGAGTATTTGAACATGGTCATGAGCAACAGCACTCCAGCCACTGCCAGACAACTAGGCCTAACTATCATTTTAATTTCCCACAAGGCCCCACAACAAAGCTACATTAAGAGCATTGGGGGAAATTAACATGCAGGGCTAGATTCGGGTTCACAATGCCAAAAAATTACTGAGTGGAAGTGCAGTGTGACGGAAGGCACAGCAGCAGACCAAGGCCACTGCTGGCCCCACATTGGAGGGCTTAATTTGAGCCAGGTCTCCTCTGAATTCTGCTCTAGGGCCAGTCTATGGTGTCGTATTTTCATGCAGGAAGATGCAGCAAAACAAAGGAAGTCTGCTGTGCAGGCACAGAAGATGTTTTCCTACTTACAGTCTAAGGCTCTCTTTGCTTTTATATGTTTCCACCGTTAGATGAAGCTTTTTTTTTTTTTTTTTGGTCAGACCGCAGCTTGTACTCGGTCAGAGAAGCCTTGTTATTGGTGTTCGGGTTTTTTAGATGGAGTCTGCTGAATCAAACTTCAAAAAGATCCAGAAAAGCAGTGAAAATATATCTATAAATCATTAGAATAAGAGGGCTGGTTAAAATGTGCCTCTTTTTCAAGACAGGACAACTGTAACTCATTAGCCTCCAGGGTATAATTCTAATTAAAGCTAGGTGAAGACATTTATCGGGAGTTGCGCCAGACTCTTGTGGTAAACCTGGGCTATAAGAAATTGCAATGCTGCCATCTATGGGCTAATTGAAGGTCCACCATTCAGAAGTGCCCAGATGGATCAAAGCAACCCCTGCATACCACAGGAGTCCACCAGATGCCTCAAGAAACCTTGTAAACAGAGGAGGAGGAACCCAATATTCTCCCACTTGATTCCATAACAACCAGCATTCAGTAGCGTATGTTCTCTATAAGCTTAATCATGATTAACACTAGATAGGTTTCCTCTGGATAAAATACTTGAAATGGGCTTCTTCCCAGAATCGTTCTTATGCTGTAATACACCCACACAAACATACTGTTTGTGTGTGCTTATCTGATCCGCTAATTTGATCCACATGCAGTCCCAGGCTATGGGATGCTCTAGGCATAATTTTAAGATTGTCTTCCCCAAGCTGATGTGCTCCAGTTATGTTGGGCTAGAGGGATTTCATCCCAAGCCAGGATGACCTGAGAATGCAAGTGAGGGAATGTAGCCTCTAACCCAGTTTAGAAATAGATTCCCCAAAGTTTACTGAAAAGGAGATATTTTATATCTTTGTTAGATTTATAACCACTTTTTCTTAAGGAACAGAAGGTATGCATAGAACATCTTTCTTCTATTTTTCCCAGAAGAAAACCGGGGGGGGGGGGGGGTTGAGAGATCATGGCCAGCCCAGTGACTTTCTATGGTTAAAGAGGGACCTGAAGTTAGGTCTGTCCACTCCTATGGCTCTTCTGTGTGGCAACCCTAACTGCTGCTATGCAGTGTGGGAGCCAGCAGAAAACTCTGCCACCTTAAAGAAGTACTGATAGCATTTCCAATGACTACTCTGCTGGGCAATGAAACAGAGTAGGGGTTCTGTCTGCATGAGAAGTGGGGGAAGAAGAGGGGAAGCAGGAAATGGCTCTTTGGGTGCCATAACTGGTCTTCTGCTGTCAATGCTGCAATCTGACAGAGTCATTGCTCTATGGGATCAAAGAACTGGCAACAATTTTTCCCCATTTCTCTTTATCCCCCTGAAGGGGAGAAAGGGAGATTCAGGAAGAACCAATTTCCCCCACAGGAAGAGGAAAGTGGGGTGGATCCAACTTGGCAGCCAGCAGCCCTACAGTGAAGTTGCCCACCCACTTGCAGCTTGGATGCTGGAGGGCCTAAGCTGCAGGGTGGGGGTTATATAAGTGCCCAGGGTCTTCCAGAAGCCTGTTAGAGAAATGTCAAGAAGTCCTTCCCCACCATGGATAACAGGAGAAGGTGGGGAAAAGAAGTGGGGTGGGAGGAATGTCTCCCTTGCTGCCTGTTCCTGATCCTCTGGACCCTGGAGAATGGACAAAAGACTTGATTTCAGCCTTGCTCCCTTCTGTAAGGGGAAGTGGGTCTTTTTGGTACCCAGAGAATTGGCACCTCAAAGACCAGATTTCCAGCCTTGTCTCCCACTTTTCTTCCACTCATGGTTGGCAAGAGAAGTGGGGGAGATGGCTTTCTGGCATGGTGGGAGAATCATGGCTTTCTGTAGTCAAAACAGAAATAGCCCAGGAATCAGGAATCAATGGGAACAGGGCAGCCCCCCCCCCCCAATTTACCTCAGAATGATTCACCGCAGATTGACCACCTGCTATAGCTTGTGCCAGCAGAAATGGGAAAATATCACTATTGAAGTAGATCAAGGAAAGATGGGGTGAGATTGCCTTCGCTTGTGGACCAAGAACAGGCTGAGGATAATGTCATGCATTCATATCCTCAGGAAATGGTAATGGAGCAGGTGAGCCTGTTCTGTGAGGAGTTCTGTTCGGAGTCTATTCCTCCATAGGTATTGTGTATGATTCAACAGGTTCTCTGCTTTTTCATTTTTTTAATTTTTGAACCAGAGGTTCAAAAGTGTCTTGGCTTGTGAAATTCATACCTTTTCTGCTTCTTCAGTGATTAGGCAATTCGCTTGTTCTTTTAGAGCGCCAATTTGATGTCTGGGAAATGCTCTATCACTAGCAATGCCTACCATGGTACCCATTTGGGAAGAATAACCCTTACACACACTCTACATTCCAGATGCATCCTCCAGCCAAATAACTCAACTTTTTACTTTTTTGCAATAATTTAAACTCACCACTAGGTTGCAACCTTTTTCAAAATAGTTGCAGTTCTGTTAGTGATGAATTGTACTTGAAGTTGCTGTTCCTTCTACTGGCATTACCTACTTGCCCCTAATCGTGGTACAAAAATGCCTAGGCAGCATCATTTTTCTGCCCTGCTTTCAACTTGTCCCCAGCCCACAACTGAGACAGGCTTAAGTAGTTCTTAGCTGTCACTGTCACTTAAAAGAATGTTTTCCTTCTTACTCTGACACCATCCAAGAGCAGCCTCAAGGAATGCAAGAGGTTCAGCTTGGATTTTTCAGATGACCAAGGGAGGGGGGCTTGATAAAGATAGCAGTGTCTACCAATGACTTGACCTTTATAAAACCAGCTCTTTTTTTATTATTATTCCCTTCAGGGTTTCTTGCAGCTGCGCTGGTCTCGCTTTGCCCGTGTGGTCTTCACTCGCTCCTTTGCCATTCTTCCCACTGTCTTTGTAGCTGCCTTCAGGAACGTAGGAGACTTAACAGGCCTCAACGATCTTCTAAATGTACTGCAGAGCATCCTGGTGAGCTTCCAGTCCCTAGCAACATCCTTCTCTCACGATTCTCAACGACCTGACTAGCTGTAGACTTCTAATTCCATACACCCCCTTCCTGAATCTGGCACCCTGCAGATGAATAGACTTCAGCTCCCAGAATTCTCTGCAGTACTATCTGAATGGGGAATTCTAGCATTGAAATCTACCATTTTGGAAAGTGTCCAAGTTCAGTCAGACTGCATTAAGACTATAACTCCCATTAAAACTCCCATTATTCCCTCTATTCTTGGCCATCCTAATAATGATGGAGTTTGTAATCCAACGTATCTAGAGGCTGTCCATCTGGGATGACTGTTATTGGTCTCTTCCTGCCAATCTTTCTTTCAAGGTACTACTCACATTTTCTTTTAATTCTGCAAATTACAGAGCCAAATAAAATAGCCATCTCTTCACATAGTATGGTTAGCCAGGTCAGTGGAAGAGCAAACAGATTGCACAACATGCTTAATTGGTGTCCACCTTGATTTGTTTTCAGTTTATTTGTTTTTGTGGCTTCATGTGTTCTGCAGGCCCAGCTTGTTTGCTTAGTTTAAGATTCAGTTTATTGTAAGAATGCAGAAAATGGGCTAATTCAGTAACCAGATTAAGTGTGTTTTGTGAATCCAGACTCCCAGTGGAAATGCAACATAAACATTGGTTATCTGTTAGCAATAAACTAATTTATTTAACCATATTTGCCAAAAAATAGTGACCACAATCTTTATCTGATAGGGACATGAAGGAAAAGATTTCAAAAAAGACTATTCTAGGACTTTCATCAAATTCCTAAAGTGCTGTGTCAGGAATGGGCATTCTACAACCACCAAATGTTGTTGAATTATATTTCCCAACATTCTTCTCCATTGGCATGCAGACCAGGACTGCTGAAAGATGGTTCAACAACATCTGGAAAGCCCCAAGTTTTTCCACTCCTGAGGATAAAGCAAAGACTTCTTCTCTGATATTCTATGGGTCAAGACTAGAGCTAGTGAGCTCATGTTACAGGAGGAGAGCTTTGATTAAACTCCAGGAATAACTTAGTGATGGTAGGTGCAGTTGGACAGTAAAAACACAGTCAGAGCCTTTCAGGTTGAAGCTGGACAGTCATCTGCTAGCTTTGGATATCTTTCATCAGATAAGGAATGGACTACGATCCAGCATTATGGTCCTATAACAGTGTTAGGTAACGTAAGTGCCTTTTAGATTAAATCTAAAATCCACCATGAACAGTGGTTAGGAATTATAGTAGTTGTCCAAAAGTATCTGGAAGACACAACATTGTCTACTTCTGCTATGATGTAATACTTGCTTGCTAAAAGATCCTGTGAGGCAAACAAGAAACTATGGGAGTCTAGGGCAAAATGCTGTAATGGGTCTATGAGCAGTGGGAACTATCCAATCAGCAGTAGTCCCTTAGAAAATATTTTGGTGGTCTGTACATATAGTGCCATTAAAATTTCTGGGACAGAGAAGGGATACAGAAAGAAAACAGTGTTCATTTTTAAAACCTGCATTCATGCATAACCTATTTTTTTCTACCTAATTCTAGTTACCGTTTGCTGTCATACCTGTTCTCACCTTCACCAGCATGCAACCTCTCATGAAGGATTTTGTCAACGGGATGTAAGTAGCAAAATATGGATGGGGACTCCTTGGTGATCCCGAGGACCATTTCCATCTTACATTTATACTGTTGAACCTGCCACAGAACCACACTGCCCAGGTCTCTATTGTCCATCAAAGTACAAGTTGGTCATGTTTGCTTTTCCTTCCATATAAATAGCTTTTTCTTCAGGTTGCTCCATAAAGAGAAGATGCTCAGGAGGTGTCCCTTTCAAGTCAAGCTTAACCCCTGATGACTACATGGATATGCTCATCCTTTCTTGGCAATAATAAGTCACAATAAATATAGGCTTTATTCATGCTAATTACACTATTTAGAAGATTGCATGGTTTCCATTTCTTTGAGGACAAAAATGGAAGAAATCAAGATATTAGGTGTTCTAAGAAGAGGGAAAGACTTCTACTCCCCACTAACCTTTTCTACTCTATGTGATTTGGCAGACAAAGATCTAAAATGTGGTTGAAATAGAACTGCTTCAATAGCCTTGATCCTCCCATGTTTTTTTTTTCCCCTCCACTCACTTTCTCTCTCCTCTGGTTTTCTTAGCATTGGGAAATTTCTAATGATCCTGGTCACTGGATTAATCTGCGCAATCAACCTATACTTCGTGGTGACAAGCATCATAAGCCTGAACTATCTGGCTTACTACATCGCCATATCATTTGTGCTACTTGCTTATGTGGCCTTCGTCTGCTATCTGGTAGGAAGCTTGTATGTAAATTGGGCACCATCCATAGTAGATGATTATCCCCAAACTGGATTTAACAGTTATAGGGATTATCTATTCAACAGATAAGATTGTTGAACCTATTGCGTTAGGCTGTTCCTAATGCAAAATCTCCAGAGAAGATCATCAGTGACCTGAGTCCTAGTGGTGAAAGAGCAATGCTGCTTTATCCTGAGTACTCAGTCAGCCCTTGTGGATCTCCTTCTCTTCCCCCATTCCTAATCATAATTAAAAGTGATGTTATATGAAGATAGACAGGTATTTATGAAGCAATATAATGGAGAAGGCACAGAACTAGACTGGCATTGCATAACATGCTAAGCCATAACGTGTTTGGCTTTAGCACAGCATGTTGTGCCAGTTCAATATGCCATTTTTAAGCAAATCACAGACAGCTTAGCACAACTTCTGAAACAGATCTATCAGTCCCAGGGAAATGATATCACCTTAAGTAAGTTCCTTGCAGAAAGAAAAGGTGCTCACACGTATCTCTTGTTAGGACTAGAAGATATTGGTTGAGAATTCCAGGAATGGCAGCCCCAAGATATCTGAAGGACAAAAGTATGAAGACAAATTTAAGAATTTAAAAGAATTGTAATGGGAAAAATGGGTTAGTCACACAGAGACACAGAAGCTTGCCTGTTTGCTGTTGCGGGCAAATGGAGAAAATAAGGAAGATTCTTTGGTATGATGTCAAGACTCTCATTTATTTATATATATATAAATAAATAAATAAATAAATATTTATATATATTTAGCCACCCATCTCATATACATGACTTATATGATTTGTTCTTGGATTTTGTCATCATTCCAGATTTGGACCTGTCTCATTTCACATGGAGCTGCCTTCCTGGCTCGTGGGCCCCATACTCGGTTCAGTTATGGACTGCAGTGATAGTACATCCCACTCATCACCACTGGAAGCTGCTGAATCACTACTGTCTCTCCCCAACAAAACAGGAAGCAGCTGCTCCTGGGCATCTGCCAGGAGGCAGAGGTGTCAGAACCACAGTTTCTGTTGGCAAGGGATGGACTTCAGCATCAGTAGCGATCACTCAGCAGCACAGTGCCTGCCTTGCAGGTGAAAAGTTCCAAGGACAATTTCTGGCGTTCATAAAGAATCTTCAGACTCGGAAGAGCTGTGGTGTAACTTCCAGAGAGGGTTCAAGACTTGATGCACTCATGTTTTTAATCCTGACAATATGTAGCTGGTTAGAAAAAAAGTGTAAAGAAAGAACTATGAAGAAAGTATTCCAGATACTCACGACCAGCCAGACCGGCTTTGTGTGGGACATCAAGACACGCACTTCAGTAGTGGGTGGAGAGCAAGCCTTTTTCAAGGGGGGCGGGTTCAGGAGCTTAAGGAATGGGGGTAAAGTCCCAAATTTTTGATGCCACCCATTGGTGAGGCCACAAAGGAATGCTGGAAGAATGCACATGTCCTTTCTTTCCTACTTTTTGCACCACTGCTTTAGACTTTCTCCTTTAAGCTGCATACACTGGCCTGCGACTCTCTGTGGGAAATCCTCCAAAAGAATATGCACCTTATATTTACATTGCAGGATCTGGCAGCTATTCCTTCTTTGTCCCACTGTAACATAAAGACTTGTATCAGAGCCTGTAACTGGCATTTCTGCAGACCCACACTCTGGTCAAGGATCCACTGCTGATCAACGGTTTTGCTCCACATTCTCCATGCTATTGTTGCTTGACTTCTGCCCTCTGGTTGGAAGGAGTAATGAGACTGACAGATGAAGTAGTGGGTCACCTTGATTAGAACAAGGGAGCCCACTCAGTGTGTGGATTCACACATTGTGCTAAGCCATGGTTTATTTAACTATGGTTTATTGAATAATATGACATTGGCGTTTTTGACATAACATGATAATTTGGGATTTACAAATTGCAGATGTTGGATTTACACAGTACACCAAATCAAAGCAAAAGCACTATGTTTAAGAAAGGATAGGAAGGGGTTCAATAAATCCAGGAGGAGAAAAAGATGTCTGAAAAAGCTGGGGAGCAGAAATCAGCAGTGGGAATGAAGAGAGGACGATAGCCAGAGAAGGGAAGAGAAAAACTTACACACCGCTACAAACACACAGAGAGAGCTTCTGCATACAGAGAAAGGCTATCCCAACGTTTTGTGGCGAGCCCCGCCCTTCCTGGCTGCCAATCCACGGTGGTGCTCAGCAAGCTTTTCCAGCCTTCCAAACATGTTCATGATATCCCAGAGTCTGGAGAGCTCTGCCCTCGATATAGTAGTTAAATAAAAGGGGGGATTTCCTGCTACAATTCTCCGTACCTTTTAAACCTGCATAGCTGGCAAAGCTGTAGGAGCCCTGACTTTCTTAACATCTGATCACTTTACCTGAGAGAATGGGTTTCAGTTTTAATATTGGTGCTTCTGTCCAAAAAAGTAACTTGATGGTGTGCAGAAATTGATAGGTGCCAGATTCTATATCTGTGCAGCAGATACTTTTCATCTGCTTATTTTAACTGGCTGGCAACCAACAACCCATTAGTATGTTTTCAATCCTTCTGAAGACAGCCTCCACATGCAGGCAGGGAAAATTTGCCTTTTTCTTTTTAATCTCTGGCCCTATAAACTGATTGTATCTTGTTCTAAATTCAGTTAACTGACTTTTTTATTGCGTTGAACTGATCAGCTAAGTTATGGAAAATTAGGACCATATAGATCAATACTGATGTTTTGGGGCCATTTGTACCTTCCCCACCTCCGCTGCCCACCATAGTTTTAGACTAAAGAATGCACAGTTTTTTCTTCAGTGAAGATTATCAAGTGATTTCCAAGAATCAAAAGATGTGAACTGTGCGGTACTGATAAAGTTGCTGAAAACAAATGCTCAAATCAAATAAATATTCTACATTGTTAAAAAAGCAAATCTTTTGAAATTTGCAGGGAATGGCATGCCTTACTGTTACTGGATTTATCTTTGTAGAGGTAAATTAGGTAAGGGGAGAACCAGGACCACACAATGTAGAGTTTGCTTGTTTGTTAACACGACTGTTGTACTCCACAAACCATGGTTAAAACAAACATGGCTTAGCACAGTACATGAGCCTACTGCTACCTTACAGCAATCAAATTCTCAGAATTGAGCAGGGATTTGGACCTTACAACATCTCATATCCAGCTAAAACATTCCATCCATTGTGGCACAGTCAACAATCAGTACTTAAATCAGCACTGATAATTACTAATGCTATATAAAATCAAATTTCCTTCTTTACAGCCACATTTAAGCAGAAACCCCACGTACCTGCTGTATTGTTTGTATATCTTTCATTCATTGCAGTACATTCCCCTAACAGTGTACAATCAATGGCCCACCATATGCCATCAAACCATCTCCCATTAGCCCCAACTGACAATGGCTAGTGATCAGGGAATAACAGGACTTGTAGTCCAAAGGCATTCAAAAGTGCCACAGTTTTCCCACCCTGATCCATCAGGTCTGGTCAGGTCCCAAGAGTCCTTCCCCTTGAGGTCCCTCAGCTGGCCTTTCCTGATAAGGATAGATATTCTTCCACATGCTCTGGAGTGCAAGCTAAAATCTTTCTTGATGTTCCCTGCAGCCTTTCCAGCTCACATCTATGTGAATTAGCAGCCCCTGGAGATGCTCCTATCCAATTAGTATCTTAATAACACTCTTCTGCAGGGACTAAGCTTTCTACTTTGAGCACCAAACCTGCGAGTCTTCTGCACTTGGCCAGTGTGGCTCCAAATTACTGCTCCCACCTTATAGATTTGTGACTTCCAGGGGAATAAGAAGTGGCAACTGAATCCCCCACAACTGGGGGATTGGCCTTTGAGCCAAAGAAAGCATAAATGTGGAAGCCAGTGTGGTCCCTAACATTAATCTTGCTTGCTCAAGAAGAATCCTCTAAGCCTGGCATCTTCAACATGGCATGTAAAGGGGGATAAAGTGCTTGCTGACACCTCTTATGATGGCTTCTGGGCTTTCTCCTTGTTTTCTTTAGTTAAAACAATAGGCTGGTATTCAAAACAACAGTCTCCAGCATTATTTTTAGTCCCAAGAAAGCCTCCATGCTCCAGCAGTCCAACAAGCTTTCTTTAAAAATATGGGTAGCTACAACCTAGAGCTTCTGATGTGCCTCCCCAGAATAAAAATAACAGGACTAGTAGTGGGTTCCTGAGGTCAGGGGTGGGAAGTAGGAGTGGCAAGTAGAATTCTGGGAACTTGTTACCATTTCATGAATGGGCAAACTGCCTTCCCAGTGGCCACAAGAATGCCCATTGCACACTTTGAGAATTCTTAAGCATGCCCACCGGCTCTAACAGATGAACGCCCTCTGAACATGTAATACTGACTTCTTTCCAGCCAGAGCCAAACACACATTTTACAAGTTTGATTATACTGGAAACTTCTAGATCAAGCTTTTTAAATCTACTGATAAGGCCCTTTGATGGTGAAACTGACAAGAATGCTTGCCTTGCATATACTGAATGGCAGCTTTTATACAAGGCAGAATTATAACACTCAATAAGGAAGTTAACCAAAGGTTATTATTGGCCGTTTGACCACCTCCTGCTTTGGCTAGCTGGAGTTTGCTTATAGCTATATGGAATAAAGAGTGACTCTTCCATTAATTAAAATGAGAGAAGCATTCATCAATCACCAAACCATATTAAAATACATATGATTTGGGACTAAGTATTGACTTCTATAAAAGTAGGATCACTAGACAGAAGGCTTTGGTAACCCTCTGCTGATATTTTAACATGAGCAGGGGTGAATCCACACCAGACGGGGAGTCAAAAAAGTCAAGATGGCATCTATGGCCACACGATCAAAGCTTCACCCTTTACATACAGCTTCAAGCTAACCTGGGGGATCTAAAACTTCTCTGCAAGCTAAAAAGGGTTTAGTCAGATATCCAAACCCAAAAAGTTCCACATTCTATGTGGGGAGCCAACATTTGTACAGCTGGAATAAATTAAGCATTCTATTTTCACAGCATATTCTAATTTCAGAATCTGAGAGTTCTCAGATTCAGTAGCCTTAGCATAAAGCTCTAGCCTTTTTCTCCCACTGACTAAAATGGGTCTATTTGAGAAATTCATCCAGATGCTTACACAGCTCCTTTAACCTTCAACTGCAGGAGGCTAGAAAACTAACAATGCCAAAAACGGGAGAAAACAGGCTGCACTGGGAAAGATGGCATGGGCAATAACAGACTGCTATTTCTGAGAAAGGGTAGTGCAAATGTTGAATAGAATCAAACAGAAAAGCAAAAGGATGATGGAAATGTCTGATGTTCTCCCCCCACCCTGCCTTCACTCCTGAAGCATGTTCTTCATATGTAAAAAAGTAGTATATCAGAGAAAGTACGCCAAGCTACGTCGTTGTTGTTATGATTATGATTATGATTGTTTTATGTACAGTAAAGGGTTCTTTCCCTTGACCTGTCTTTGGAAAAGCATTTTATAAAAATAATCCCTATATTTACAGCTTGAACTAATACCATTCACAGCCACGCTTTACCATTTGCTTCTCCCTAGACACTGAAACTGACCCTGATTTTTCCCTGACACAGGACAATTCTGCTGATGCTCTGGGTTTTTTCAAAGCCCTCCATATCCACATAGCACTACTGTTTACCCTGAAAGAAGCAGGCATCAATGCTGGTATTGTAAGGAGAGTCGGGAACTGAATGAAGAGAGAAAGAAAAGCCAGGAATTGCTAAGCATGCAGGAGCCATTGATTCAGTCTTTCACTCGCAACCCTGGAGAGGGAAGAAAGAAGTAGTTGATGAAATGCAACCAGTTCAGAGGCCCCATTAGTGGGAATAGGCAAGAAGCAGGAAGTGATGTGGGGCGCTGCTCCTGCTGGCCTCAGAAAAACAACCCTCGGAAATAAATGGAATTTTCACAGCCCAGAGTTACCAAGCCATGCCAGGCGGGCCTTTAAACCAGTTTTGCTGCCTGCTTCTGTCCCCAGAAGAGGAAAGAAATAGCGTGGATGTGTATAAGCAACCACTGTCTTTTGGACTAACTCTACACTGATGAGTGGAGAACTTTTAAACTGAGTTTTATCCAATTAGCTAAACGCATTCTAGGTTTGCCCAACAGATTGAAATGGAAATTGTGTTGAGGCTAGGCTACAATACAGTTGGCTGGTTTATCACATTTAAAGAGCATTTTAAAAAAGGTTTGGTTTATCACATTTAAAGGGCATTTTTAAAAAGGTTTGGTTTATCACATTTAAAGGGCATTTTT